ATTTCATTTTGTACTTCCTTGTCTCAATACTGAACTTTAAGAAAGCAAGGGAACTGTGAGAATGTGGACATGCAAAATTATCGCAAGGTCAGAAAATGAGTCAATGAGAAGTTGGTTGGGAAAGGTGTTAGCATGAGGTTTTTGAGAGGATAATTTACACCACAGTTTCAAAGATGGCTGGGACTTGAGGATGAGTAATGGAGAGTGACTACTATGTTAAGAATTGAATATGTACTTTTGGGAAGTTATAGCAGCAGTGAAAGATGAAGATTTGTGGTAGCTGTGCATAAATACAGTAGGAACCTATACAGCTGTGAAAATGCAGTCAGGGAGCTGCATTTAATTTGTACAGCGTCATTAACGTAATGTGTTAATTGGGAAAGAGGGGGACTTAGAGAACAGAAAGATGAAGAAGATGATACACCTCTTATGATATACCTCTTAGAGGACTCCTATATATATGTATCACTTGGCAGATTGATGCATCAAGTGCTGAAGTGTATGAAGAGAGTAGTATTTAAATGAGCAGAAGGAATGTATTTGTGACAGCAGAAAAGGTAATTTTTTAAAATGGTAACGCTAATACCTACATAAAACTGGAGACTAATCTGCCAAGATAAAAGGTAATAAATATCCCTGTAATTTGGCATATTTGAAAATAGGTGGTGGAAGACTTGGCCAAAAGTGAAATAGGAATAAGTGTCAGACTGATAGAGGGCAAGAAAATGGGTCATTAGAAGTCTTTGTTTTGCAGATAGTGTGTACAGTGGAAGAGTGACTACTAAAAGCTGCATTTGATGAATAGCTTCAAGGGTGACTTGGCAGTTCAGCTGGTAAAATACATCTAAGCATCTTAGTCTGTTGTTTTTGCACAATAACACTTTAATAATAGTCTGGTATTAATAGCTTTTTCATGAACTGCAACAATAGCATACCTTACTTTCTGACTATTGCAGGTACCTTCGCTTGCAAGATGGTACCGTTTGTTCAATCCACTGCCATTGTAACTGAGATTCTTACCATGACCTGCATTGCTGTGGAAAGACACCAGGGAATTGTGCATCCACTAAAAATGAAATGGCAGTATACCAATAAAAGAGCATTCACAATGCTTGGTAAGATTTTAAGCACCTCCAGTAATCATGTGTGTAGAGACATAATCTTTAGTGTAGCTGGTGTAGATGGCATGGCAGACCGGAGGCACTGGTATGACCAGTGAATCAGAGATAGACTTAATGGTAAATTTGGTAACATGTATAAAATGGCTCAAGGATAGTGCCTATAGGTACAGTTATGTGTAGTAATTACTAGCCAAAACCCTGACAATAGACTTGGAATCTGGTCAAAAGACTGACTTAACCAAGACTCTGATAAACTTTTGGCAGCTGTTGTGGTCCTTCCGTTGTAACACAAAGAGAACATATTTAATCCTGGTCATGTAAATTAAGCTGCCTTTTACACCTGATTACCAGTAAATGAAGGTAGATTGAGAGAAAGAAAACTGGTAACAAAAGAGCATGGTGTTAGTTCTTGATGTGAATGATGACTGATGTATGCCTCATATAAAACTGTGCTTTATTTAAATTGTCTACTTTGCCTGACTTCTTGAAGATGAAGCTATTAAACTGTTTGTACCAAAACTTATGCTGCTTGTTGTACAAAGTATTAAAGATATATTTGTTTACAGGCATGGTCTGGTTGCTGGCACTTATTGTTGGGTCACCTATGTGGCATGTGCAGCGGCTTGAGGTATGTTAGGTGAAATGGAAATTTACATTTGAAAAGCAGTCCTTCCTGGGTCTTCTCCTACCTTCAGCAGTGAAACTGAATAAACTCCTAAGAAATGAGCGCGATAAAAGAAGTGGAGCTGTTGTTCTGTGTGCCAGCATGACAGAGGCCAAGGATTAGCACTTGTGTGCACTGGAAGAAGGACTGCCAGCAGGGACTAGTCATGTCTACGCTCCCCAGTTATTTCAAAGAGCAGTAATTAGATCTGTGAATTCCACTAGGGCTTACTTTCAGTTTATAGGTGCACTGGCACACAGCAGTGTAAGGCTTAGATGACTGTTTGAGGATTATATAGTATTCTCTGAGATTTGGAAGAACTGTGCTTAGTTTAAAATGCCCATTATAGTTTAAGGAGTTACCATACACTTTTGGTGAGGGTGGGAGGGAACGGCTTGTCAGAATCTGCAGCTCGTGAGTCTGAATTTTAACAAACTTGGTTTATTTTTTTAAGTGATTAATATGTGAGGTTTCTGTGTACCCATCTATACCTGCAAAACATATAGCCAAGGTCTCCTTTGAAAGTCTTCATTTAAAAAAAAAAAAGGAAGTTTAGAGGAGGAGATCAGAGCATCTATGGACCTCTCTCTGTCAACTTGGACCAACCAATATTTCATGTGGAAAAGTACATGGGAGAATTTTGTCACTTTGAAAAGTCTCTCTGATTAATGGTGGTAGTTGTATTAAGAGTAAGGAATATTTTAATGTGCTTGGTTTTTTCCACTGGGGGTGAATACTGTAGTGACTTGTCTCCCTTACACTTGTTACAGGTTAAATATGACTTTCTATATGAAAAGGTGTATGTTTGTTGCTTGGAAGAATGGGCCAGTCCAATTTATCAGAAGATATATACAACCTTTATTCTGGTCATACTCTTCCTTCTTCCACTGATGCTGATGCTCTTTTTGTACACTAAAATTGGCTATGAACTCTGGATTAAGAAACGAGTGGGAGATGCTTCAGTTCTTCAAACCATTCATGGGAGTGAAATATCTAAAATATCAAGGTTTGTAAAGTAAAATTCACTTGGAACTTTTACTTCTGGAAAGCTTTGGAGTTTTTTTTTTTTTTTGTGGGTTTTTTTTTTTTGTTGTTGTTGTAGTTGCTTTTTTTGTTGGGTTGTTTCCCCACCCCACCCCCCAGCAGTTCTTGAAAAAGAGTAAAAAGAGTGTAAAAAAAAAACAAAACAAAACAAACCCAAACAAACAAGCAAAAAAATGGAAAAAGCTGTCTGTCTGTTGGGAAGTCTACAAGTATAGACCAGTTTTCTAAAGCTAGCTAGTTATTTAACACTTAGGTACCCAATTTAAGGCAACCTAAATAGATTGTTTTCTTCAAAGGATAGTGTAGGCACACCTTGGAAGTCAAGCTCTTTCAATAGATCTCATATTATACAGTGTGAAATGCTTGTTTTTACAAGATAGGGTTCATGAGTTAGAACATGACTTGGGCAAATTGCTGCTACATGGTCTTTATATGTTCTTTGGAAAGTTCCATATATAATTCTGAGACTGTGAACGCCTCTTTATGATCTTATTGTAACTTAAATTGGCATATGGGGGGGAAAAATCAGAATTCAAAAGCTACTTTGTTACAGTTGAACTTCTTACAGCTTCCGAAGAGTTTTGAGTGTTCTCAGATGTTTGCATAAGATTATCCAGATGGTAATGGTCTGACAAGTTATGAAAATCAATGATTACCAACTTTGCTATATAGCACTAAATATGGGTTGCACTTAAGACTGCCTCATGTTTTTCCTTTCCATTTAACAAATTGATATGTTGCCTAAATTCTTAATGGTTCTGCTCATTGAAGAGAGTATCACCTGAAGTATTGACTGTAGGATGAATACTGACAAGCAGCTTAAAGATCAAGGATTCCCTCCCTAGATATTTGTCTAAAAAAGGGCCTAAGGAAGCTGACCGTTGTAAATCAGAACTGATGGAGGGTGCAACCTCACAGGAGTTAAGGAGTCATGTAATCTTTGGGCTGCTACTCATGTTACTTTCACAAAGTAGGGAGTAGATCCTGTAACTGTTACCAGTTAAGTGCTGCTTATTTAGCTCAAGCGAGAGATCCATCTTGGGATCTATAAAGGTAGTTATATGAATTATATATCCATTTGGGGATGACAGTAAATTCATGTATACCTTGAGTTTGTGAGATATTACAGTGGAGGCAGAAAGTGTGCTTCTAGCTGTTACTCTAGCACTTCACCTACCAGCAATGGTTGAATGTTGCAGATGTAGATTCATTTACTCTGTGTCAAATTCTCAGTGTAATCAGGTGCTGTAGATCTAGGAAGGTGCTCTCAGATCTAGGAAGGAACTCTTATTTTTTGAGCTATTAATGGAATTCCATGGGTTTGGTTTTGTTTTGGTTCTTTTAATTATTTTGCTTGGGTTTTGTTTTTCCCCCATCTCTTTCTATTGGAATTGCATGTGCTTGAATAGAGTGAAAATGCCTTGCAAGTTACACTGATGTCACTGCTTCAGCTGCCAAGTGTCTGGCTTTCCCAAAAGAGAGAAATAAAAGGTGTTAATTGGTGTACTACATTTACATGATCCTGCATTTTTTTGTTTCAGAGGGAGCTGTGTACTTCTGGGCATTCTTCCAGGGTTTTGTTTGCATCTGCAACCATCAGAACATAACTTACAGATCTAATTTGGAGACACATGTAACTACCAGTCAGTTATTAGTGATTCAGTATGGAATGTCTTGATGCAATTTCAGGAAGAAGAAGCGAGCAATTGTTATGATGGTGACGGTGGTGTTTCTCTTTGCAGTCTGTTGGGCCCCTTTCCATGTGATTCACATGATGATAGAATACAGTGAGTATCTGCCATGTGTCCTACAACATAGCTTTTATTTGTGGGATTTTTTTTGTTTGTTTGCTTTTTGTGGTTTTGTTGTTTAATAATGGAACTTCAGGTTGTGAAAAGCTGGTTCTACTGGAGCATTTGGCTATAGGATACCTTTGGCTAGCAAAGTTTAATGTTGTGCTTATAAATCCCAGATATGTCTTGTAATGGAGATACATAGCCAACAACAAGAAATACTTTCAAATCTGTGATAGACGGATCTGCAATGCTCATGGAAAAACTTGCCCTGTTTTCAATGAGGTAGACATATTGGAAGTATAAATACTGGGCATCGTAGCGATAATACCCAGTGAATCCAGTTGAGCTTTTCCACTGGTCTTGACTGGATACTTAGCTTGGAAGTGCATATAATGCTTATTATCTTTGCTTTTTGGTATTTGCCCTCTTCTCTGAGGACTTGCACTGTTCATCTCCCATATCCTGAATGGGTAGTGGGATAGCAAGTGGGACTATGCAGCAGACTATGTGTAGGAGCAAGAGGAAGTTTGCAGTAGGTGTTGTACTTTACTTGCCAAAGGCAGCAGCTATTTCTTCGTCTTCTGTCACAAATAAGGTTGCAGTAGATAAATCACTAGTCCTGCAGCCAGTCAGCTAAACCAAATGATGCTTATGCCTGGGCGGAATCCAAAGTGCAGAAGCTGTAACTATTAAAGTTGTCTGGATTGTCCCACGTTAAGGTTGCCCGTAACAGTGTTTGCTGTTGTTTTCATTGCTGATTTTGGGAATTATTTCAGGTGCTGCAAGGCCTTTATTTTACTTGCCATATAAACCAGAATTTGGTTGTCAAGTATTGGAATTCAAGAAATTGAGTCTTCTGTGATCTCAGTGATTTAAAAAGTGAGAGATGTGACCAAGATGATGCATTTTTTTGCTTCCATGAGCTGATCTGTGACAGCACAGAGAAAGAAGCTGTGTGGTTAGTGGTAAGACAAGGAGTGGTGTTAAAGTACTTGTGCATTTTTATATGGATTTGAAATTGGAGCTGGAATAACAACTTGAATAAATGAGGCTATGCTTTGCAGACTGGAAGCTTTCTATTGCTTGGTTATTGGGCAAATTTTTTGACTCATTAATTGCCTCTTTTGAATGTCTCTGTCCTTATTTACATGCGCACAAAGCAGGACTGAGTGGTAGAGATTGTGATTTTCCTTGCTGATAAAACCCTATTGCTAATATTAAGAACTTCCAGCAAGGTCTTTTGTTGACTTTAAATGAGAGCTTCTAATGCCAGACTGGATATAATTAGGCTAAAAAGACATTAATGCCATTCTGTGCTTACAAAGCATGTTTGCTTCTTCCTTTCCAGGTAATTTTGAAAAGGAGTATGATGATGTGACAGTCAAAATGATCTTTGCAATTGTTCAGATTATAGGATTCTTCAATTCTATTTGCAACCCTATTGTGTATGCTTTCATGAATGAAAACTTCAAGAAAAATTTTTTGTCTGCCATCTGCTTCTGCATGGTCAAAGAAAGCACATCACCCACCAGGCAACTTGGCAACTCGGGGATTACCATGAGGCAGCAGAAGGCAAGCATTTCTCAGAGGGACCCCATGGACTCAGATGAGGCCAGGAGGGAGGCATTCAGCGATGGCAACATTGAAGTCAAGTTCTGTGATCAGCCTGCTTCGAAAAGACATTTGAGAAGGCACTTTGCCTTATTCAGCTCTGAGATCACTGTACATTCTGCATTCAGAAATGGACAGTAGCATCATCAGGGTTTTGAGAATGGGAAAAGCATTCTTTTATATTGTAACTTTTAGTAAGCCATTAAAAATAGCTTTCTAATTTGCATGCCGAAATGAGGAGTGGAAGATATGTTGTGGATTATTCTACTGCTGGGATAATGGTTGAGAAAATTATGTATGAAGATGAGTAAAACACTGGAAAACAATATTGCCATATGATTTCCAGGAAAAAATCCTACTTTTCTTCCTAAGCTAATATAGGGCTTGTTTGCCCTCTGTTTTAGGCAAATTAAACAACTATTGCTTGCTCGGTTTATTCTGTGTCTGGATGCTGGCACACTGCTGGGGCATAGACAACTGAATGCCAGAAGAGAGGAACTACAGAGAGAGTGTGCATATTTTTTGGACAGCTTGGAAATTTGACGTGCCTAATACTGTAAGATGTGCTCTCTGCAGCTCCGAGAGCTGGGAAGCTTCAGCTGCAAGTTCAGGAAAAATGCAGACTGAGATGTAATTCTATTTTGGGGGCGTGGGGGAGAAAAAGAAAAATATGGAAGAGCCAGCCAGAATCTGACTCTGAAGAGACTGAGACTTAAACATTGCATGTGTCACAGAACTCTCCAACTGTGTTCAGATTTTGTTATCTGGAAGCATATTAGCAATTAACAATGCATGCATAATTAATGCGCTGTTTTTACAGGTTAATTCTTGGGTACAAATTTAAATGCCAGTCTACTGTCCTGTAAACCACATTGTTATGCTGCAAAACGTGGAAGCTGAAAAAGTGCTGTACAAGAGCATGTATATGTTGGAGGTGTGGTCTATAGAGTAAACACTGAGTTTAATTTTCCATCCTGCTTGGCTGTGTGTCTTAAGAGTTGAAAATGTGGTGTTGCCATTTTCTGGAGGGTTATAAGGGCCAGATCCAGAGCTTGCTGGATCTCTATGGAGGACTTTAAACTGAGTATCAGTCTTTTGATCAGACACTTCTCTGAAGACATGCACGAACTTTTTCTGTCTCCATCATCTTCAAAGTAGATCAATTGCTGTTGAAGAACAGGCCCAGTGTTCTGTTATTTTTAGGGTTTCCAGTAAATTACAGGGTTGAAATGCATATGCATGATGAACATTTTTGCTCTCAATCAAAAATTGTAAAAGGGTGCTTACAGTTCTGGGACTGGGGAAAAGTGTGATCTAGAATGTGATTTGTAGAACTCGTTAAGAACTCGCC